TTGATTTGGAATAAATTTTAATTTATCACATATTTATTTATTTGTACATGAATTTAGCAAATTGTTGAAACGGTAGAAACACATCCGAGCAATTTGGGAAGTCCAGGACGTCCTCTGGAGTTCTACAGAGACCGGTGTCTCCTCCTGTCCATATGTGTCCAGAAGATCAGAACATCCAGAACTTTGCTCTTCAGCTTCTTCTTTTTCAATCCGGACTGGAGCAACGTCCTCATTACTGCTGAAGAGCTTCTGATCAGTCACCGTCACTCAGGAACCAGTCTCCCAGACTCTTGAACTCCTAAGCAGAGACTGGTCCTCGACCCAGAGGACCCAGAGGACTGGGAGGAAGTCATGCACCCTTTTCTGGCCCAAAACCACGACCTCAGACTGAGAGAACCGCACCAGAACCAGCTGACAGTCTTGGCTGAGTCGAGACCCTGAGGTTCTCCAAGCAGACCCAGGTCTCCTCAGGGGCACCACAAGCGCCTGTCCACCAGCACCACAAACCAGACCTGCACCTGGAACAAGCTCCACTCTGTACCCAGGGTTTGGACAAAAGTCTTGTTTTGGACCTACAGGGACCAGATAGACTGAAACAATCCCAGCACCTCCACAGAAAGTCTCAGGAGCACAGAGGTCCACTCTGAACTCAGAAGCTTTCTGTTCACCACTCAGTCTACGTTCCTCCCTCACCTGCGGTCCTGAACTCTGGGTGGAGACTGAAAGAACCAGATCCTGGATCCACAAGGTCTAAAGGAGTTCTCTCTGCAGGGTAGCTGGACTCTCTCTTAGAGATCGGGTGAGAAGTTTATTTCTCCAGGAGAGACTTGGAGTAGAACCGCTGCTCCTCCACATCCAGAGGAGCCAGTTGAGGAGGTTCAGACATCTTGTCAAGATGGACCCTGGACGCCTCTGTAGGGAGGTGTCCAACTGGGAGAAGACCCCAGGAAAGACCCAGGACAAGCTGGAGAGACTCTGTCTTTCAGCCGGTGTGTGGACACCTTGGAGTCCTCCAGAAGAGCTGGCTGGACCTCCTTTATCAAGGTGCTGCCCCTGAGACCAGAGTCCAGAACCAGATGATGGATTCAAGTGACTGGACTGTGAGCCTCCGGGGCTCATGGAGGTACTTCAGAACCTTTGAGAACATCTCCAGACATTTTCCAGAGTCCATCACAAACACCGTTGACCCACATGTCTCAGTCCACTGACCAACAGGCTTCAGAATCTTCTGTTAGCATCTTACAGGAGCCGAAGTTCGGCTGCAAAAAATCACCTTCCTCCGTCTTTCTACCTGAGCTCTGACGCTGACGTGTTCATGAAAGGACCAGTTTTATCAGGACCTCAGATCACAAGCAGAACCACATCCGTCGCCTCAGACTTCAACCCCGGAAGTTCAGAAAGTACCAGAAGGCAAAACTTCCAGGAAAGTGTCTTCACCTTAACGAGGACGAGAGGACGTCCCCGTCTGCTCGTTCTGGGACGCAGCAGGAAGTGTTCTGCTCCGTGGTTTCTCTGAGCACTTTGTTGTTTTTAACCTTTTGCTGGTCCTGATGTTTCTCATCAGGCAGGATGTTTGGGCTGCGGGGGCCCCGAGGTGGAGCCCCCCCACCGGTCTGAGGTGAACTAAGCTGCTGAGATGTCTTCCTGGAGAAGAGACAGGAAGATGACTGACTCTTTGAGGTTTTCACTCTGCAGCTTCAAGAAAACAATCCGGCTGATCTGCCCATGTGGGTGTTTGTCTGTTAGCAAAATATCTCAGGAACCACTGGGTGGAAATATCAAACTCCCAGAAAGTAATCTTTGGGTAAACGTCAACAGCTGATCGACTTTTGGAGGCAATCCAAGATGGCCGCCACAGCCAACGAGTAAAATCAAGCGTGGCTCTGTTGGCAGATGTTGGGTGGTAGTAGCCGAGAGTCCTCCCAGCCACGGATCACCTGACGTCTTTGTTGAAACATTCAAGATGGCGGACGGTTCTATGTTGGACCCAAGCATTGTTCGGACCAGAACTCAGTTCTGTGGGTCCGGTCCGGATGGTTCTGTCAGTTGGGTTGCAGAACCACGTCCACTCAGAAGACGCCATCAGAACCTGCTGAGTGTGGCCCGGTCAGCGCAGTCACGGGTCTGGAAGGTTCTGAAAGCTGGTGTTCAGCCGGGTCAGCACCAGAGTGTCTCTGGAATGATCCGTCCTGAAGCTCCTGTGGTGGAACCGTCCTCCTCCAGAACCTCCTGTGGCTTCAACTCAGAACCTCCAGGAACCGGACGAGACGTTTGATGCTTTGTTAGAAATAACTCTTGAAGCTCCACGTTGTTTACGTCGTGTAAACAAACGTTTGTTTACACGACGTAAACAATGGGAGAGAAACTGTTAAACAATGACTGCTCTGTGGCCGAATCAGAACCGGATGAAGTTCTGCGGACCTGCTGCGAGGCCCGGTGGTTGGTTCCAGACTCGGGTTTCTGTTGTTGACTCAGAACCGTTTGTTTGTTTGTAGCCGATGTCACCTGACCACAACCGCCATCTTTGTTCCCACAGCTCTGGTTCCGACTCCACAGATCTTCTCCTGCAGCGGCTGGAGCCACAGAACCGGGTCGGAGCAGAACATTCGGCTGTAAAGGATCAGGTTCAGGAGAAGAACCGTAAACAGAACAAACTAAAGACGAGAAGTTTCAGTGAAAACAGCTGAACGTCCAGAATGAAGGAGCTGAAAGCTGCTCAAGCTAACGGACACAACAGTAGCTAAAAGCTAAAAGCACCAAAATGCTAGATAAAAGCTAAAGGAAACAAACAGCTAAATAAAAGTTAAAAGCAGCAAAATGGTGACTAATAATAAAAGTTTAATTAATAATAAAAATATTCACTTTGTTTATTATAAATATTTGTTAATAAAGTTACATATTTTAAAAAGGAATAAAAAAAGTCATAAAAACCTGAACATTACAGCTCCCATCTGCTGAACGAGCCAAATGTTCTGATCCATAAACAGCTAAAATCAAGTTCAGGTTCAAGTAGGCTTGATTATCATTCACATCACCTGTGGTGCATGAGGTGGAACGAAACTGTGTACTCAAGGTCCAGTTACATCCAACAATAGCAAAAATATAAGATGTAAAAAAGAAATAAGGAAAGATATACAATAAGAAATAAAAAAATAGAACCAATTCTGCAGAATTAGTAAGATAAATTAATAATAAATTTAAATAATAAAAACATCCTGATGATCTATAAGTTCACTATTACTGATAATAATATTAATATTAAGAGTGTTGATGGCGTTCAGATGTCGAACACAAAAGTTGTTTTTTTGTTTTCACTGAAACAAAAATCAGAAACGTGGTCTCGATGGTTTTAGTGGTGACCAGCAGCTGTTTCCATCTAAACTCTAAAATAATTTAAACAAAAAGTTTCTGAGCAGACAACCTGAGTGCAGGTTCCCATCAGCGGGAATGAAGTAAGCGCTGGTGTCCAGCAGGGGGCGGTACGGTCCAGTTCCGCTTCATGAGCTGAGGTTCTGCTGATGCTGCAGCGCCCCCTGCTGGACACACTGCGTCACTGACACCGAGCCGGTCCGGTAAACATCCCAGAACCAGAACCAAGAGATCGTTTGTGGAGTTCCTCAGAAGCTGCTGACTGAACCAAACTGTTGACGGCCAGGAGCTCCTTTATACGTCGGGAAGAAAATCACAGTGAATAAACAAATAAACCCGTAAATAAACAAATAAATCAGTAAACAAATAAATGAGTCAATAAACAAATAAATCAGCAAATAAACAAATAAATCTGTAAACAAACAAATCAGTAAACAAATAAATGACTCAATAAACAAATAAATCAGTAAATAAACAAATAAATCAGTAAATAAA